CCCTGCTGCTGTTGCTGCTGCTGCTGCTGCTGCTGCTGCTGGGGGTCGTCGTGGCTGTTTTCGCGCTGCTGCTGCTGCTGTTGCTGCTGCTGCTGGAGCAGCTGCTGCAGCTGCTGCAGCCGCTGCTGCGGCAGCAGGGACTCGAGAGACACTTGAATGCTGCAAGTGTCTCCTTCGGAAATGATGCTGCAGCTGCTGCTGCTGACAGCAACAACTGAAGTGCTGCTGCTGCTGCTGCTCAAGGAGACACCGGAGACAGGGGGCTCGCAGGTCACACAGCTAGCCTAAATAAATAAAAGCAAATAAATATAATTTAATAAATATAATTGGATTAAATAATAGTTAAAATTAAATAAATAAATAAAATTAAATATATATAATTAAATTAATTAAATTGAGTAAATTACATAGTATAAATTACATTCATAAATAAAGAGACAAAAGGAGACACATGAAGACACAGAAAACAAAAGGAGACACAAGGAGACAAAAAGAAATAAAAACGAAATAAAAAGCAAACACAAAAGAAACAAAAAATAAATAAAAATAAATAAAAAGAAATAAAAAAGAAATAAAAAGAGTTAAAAAGAAACAAAAAATAAATAAAAAGAGATAAAAAAGAAATAAAAAGAAATAAAAAGAAATAAAAAAGAAATAAAAAGAAATAAAGAAATAAAAAAGAAATAAAAAAGAAATAAAAAAGAAATAAAAAGAAATAAAATAATAAAAAACAAATAAATAATAAATAATAAATAAAAAGAAATAAAAAACAAAAAAAAAAGAAAAGACAAAAGGCGGACTCTGAGGAAAATGGGTTCTTTGGAGGGGGGCAAAGAAATGCCCGAAAACGAGACAGTTGCTGCTGCTGCTGCTGTTGTTGTTGCTGCTGCTGCTGTCGCTGCTGCTGCTGCTGTCTCCTGTCTCCTTTTTGCTGCAGGGTCCAGCAGCAGCAACTCCACTTCTGTTTCTTCTTCTTCTTCTTCTTCTTCTTCTTCTTCTTCTTCTTCTTCTTCTTCTTCTTCTTCTTCTTCTTCTTCTTCAAATTTACTTTCATTTTCTTCTTTTTCATTTTCTTTTTCATTTTCTTTTTTATTTTCGTTTTCATTTTCAACTTCTTCAAATTCATTTTCAAATTCATTTTCAAGTTTGTTATTTTCACTTACTCTTGGATAACTTTTGATTATTTGTTTTTCATTTTTAAATATTTGTTTTTGATTTTTAATTATTTTGTCTTCAATTTTAAATATTTTTTTTTGATTTTTGATTATTTTTGGATCATTTTCACTCAAGTGTCTCCTTGAGTCTGCCGTGTGTCTCCATTCGGGTCTCTTTTGCGTCTTTTCATTCATTTTTGGTTTTATTTTTTTCGGTTTTTGCTTTTTTGGATTTGCTTTTTGTCTCCTTTTTATCTCCTTTTTGAAGGCCGACAGCAGCACGGAGTGTCTGTGGGGTGTGGGGTTTCCGTGGCGGTCTGCGAGCTGTACAGACACCTGAAAGGGAGTTGCTGCTGCTGCTGCAGCAGGCGGCTGCAGCAGGAACAGCAGCTGCTGCGGGGGCCCCGCAGCAACGTCGAAGCTGCTGCTCACTGTCTCCAAGGGGCCCCTTGCAGCAGCAGCAGCAGCAGCAGCAACAGCAAAAAAGGACAGTCGATAACCTCGACCAGCAGCAGCAACAGAAAGTCCCTCAAATGCTGCAGTACCTGTCTCCAAAGACTGCGTCAAACGCCCCACAACTTCCGGCGCAGCCTCACCCCCTGAGCAGCAGCAGCAGCAGCAGCAGCAGCAGCAGCAGCAGCAGCAGCAGCAGCAGCAGCAGCAGCAGCGGGGAGGGATCATGGGTGGCGTTCGCAGGGCGGGGTGGGGAGGGTTTGCGGTGTACACGCACACCAGCAGCAGCAGCAGCAGCAGCAGCAGAAAACAGCAGCAGCAGCAGCAGCAGCAGCAGGGAGAGGGCGCTTTTTTGCGGGGGCGTCAAACGCTAAGCCTCTCCGCTGGCTGGCTAGGGTTTAGGGTTTAGGATTTAGGGTTTAGGGTTTAGGGTTTGGGCGGACAAGGGTTAGGGTTTGTGTCGGGTTTTCCGGGAATGAGGCGAACTCCAACAATAAAGTTTTTGTCTCTAATGAAGTTTTGGAATTTGTCAGCAGCAGCAACAACGGGGGCCCTGGAGAGGGGGGCCCCGCTGCTGCTGCTGCCGGGCTGCTGCAGCAGCAGCAGCAAGTGTGGGGCCCCACACTTCACTTCGAAAGCAGCAGACACGAAGGAGACGCAGCAGCGGCAGGAGACCCGCAGCCTGTAGCTGCTGCTGCGGTAAATGCGCCAGTCGGAGACAGCTGCTGCTCCTGCAGAAAGGGACAAAAGAAGCAACTAAAAGGCGAAGCAAAAGCAATTAGAAAGCAAAACAAGTAATTAAAAAACAAAATAAAACTAACCATCTGAAGCGCTTATTTCGCTGCATGCAATATATCCAATTAGTTTTCAAATCCGTTATTTATTTATTTATTTATTTCAATTTATTTATTTTTTTATTTTTTTTCTTGCCTTTGTGGGCCTTCACGGCAGTGCTGCCGGAGAAGGGGACTTCTGCTGCTGTCTCCTTCCGCGTGTCTCCTTTAAATTGGTTTAATTGAATTGATTCATTTAATTTATTTATTTCATTTGTTTCATTTGTTTCATTTGTTTCATTTATTTCATTTGTTTCAATTAAAGATAAATAAAAATAATCTCCAAAAGTCTCCAAAAGGGCCCCTCGGCTGTCTCGCAGCTGCAGCAGAAACTCCACTGGCTCCCCAGCTGTATGTACACCTCGCGTCAGCAAGGACACGTGCCCCACACTCCCGCATTCTGCTGCTGCTGCTGCTGTTGTTGCTGCTGCTGCTGCTGTTGTTGCTGCTGCTGCTGCTGTTGCTGCTGTTGTTGCTGTTGCTGCTGGCGAGGAGGTGTCGAAAGATGCTGCTGCTGCTGCGGCAGGAGGAGCTTCTTTGTCCGTCTGCTGCAGCTGGCCTGCTGCAGCAGCAGCAGCAGCAGCAGCAGCCGATGTTGTTGCTGCTGCTGCTGCGTTAGCCTCCTCACTAAAGGTCTGGCCCCCAGCAGCAGCTGTTGCTGCTGACGCATGCGTTTGCTGCTGCAGCTGCTGCTGCTGCTGCTGTGGGGCTGCTGAAGCGAGCTGCACCCTCAAGGGGGGCCCCCCCGGGGGGCCCACTGGGGGGCCCCCAGGGGGCCCCCCTGGGGGCCCCGCTGCATTTTCTGCTCCCAGATGAGCAGCAGCAGCAGCAGCAGCAGCAAGA